AAAGGGTTTGGGGTTGAGGGTCAGCAGCTCTATCGGTCTATGTGCCTGTCTGTCTCTGTTTCTGCTTGTCTGTCTATCTGCCTCTCTGCCTCTGTCTCTCTGTCTGTATCGCTTCCTTTTGTCTCGCTCTATCTGTTCTCTAGATTTCTATCAGTCTACTTGCCTATACATCGATCTAGCTATCTATTTATGTACCTATCAATCTATCTATCTATCTGGGCTAGCTTATGCCGATATACGCACGAATGCACATACATCTTCTATCTCCCCACCCACAAGCATATACAGGTTCTGAGTAATTGGCAAGACTGTTCCCTCGCAGCCCCTTTCTAAAATTCACTTTTCATGTACCCTAAACCCTAAACCCTAAACCCCTCAACCCCTCAACCCCTAAACCCCTAAAACCCCTTAACCCCTAAACCCTAAACCCTAAACCCCTAAACCCCTAAACCCTAACCCCTAAACCCCTAAACCCTAAACCCCTAAACCCCTAAACCCTAATCATGTACACCAAAATCCTGCTGAACTTGTGAAGGGGGCCCGGATCTCCTCGGGATGGAGTTTGAAAAGGATTCTGGTTTAGTACTTGGGGTTGAGGGTTTAGGGTTATGGGGTTATAGGGTTTGGGGTTGAGGGTTGAGGGTTTAGGGGTTATGGGGTTATAGGGTTTAGGGTCATGGGGTTATAGGGTTGAGGGTTTAGGGGTTATGGGGTTATAGGGTTTAGGGTTATGGGGTTATTGGGTTTAGGGTTAGGGTTTAGGGCTCTGGTTTAGGATTTGGGGGCTTGAGGGTTTATTTTGTCGACTGTGGTTCGGGGCATTTGCTTTTTGCCTGCAACAAGACTTTGAGTTGGTGGGGCTTCCGACACTGAATCTTGAAGCCACGTCGTCTTAACTTAGTTATGGCCCCAAACCCCAAACCCCAAAACCCCACACCTAAACCCGAAACCCCAACCCCTACACCCTAAAACCCCTAGCCTTGAGGACGAAATGACCCTTAAAAGTAGGGGCCCTATGCCCTATATGGTATATGAACCCTAAACCCTTTCAGGGTTCATTTCGTCCTTATGGAGGGGCCTGTAGACCAGGAGTCGTGGCCCTCGCCCGAAGTCTTGGAGATCATCGCGGAGAAGGAGACACATGACACGCTCAGGCAGGTCCTGGACGGTGCGATGTTTAGGGTTTAGGGTTTGGGGTTTAAGCCTAAACCCTAAACCCAAAGGAACAAACCCTAAACTCTAAACTACCCTCAAACCCTAAACTCGCCCTAGACCCAACAGAACCAACCCTTAAACTAACCTTAAACCCTAAACCTACACCCCCAAACCGTGGGGTTTCAGGGTCTTTAGCTATGGCTTAGGAGTTTATGTTTCTCACGGCTTCCGCGACTCATTCATTTTCATCTTGGGGTTTTGGGCTTAAGGGTTTAAGGGTTTGGGGTTTAGGGTTAACGCGTTGAAGGATTTAGGGTTCTAGGGTTTCGCGCTGTAGCATCTGCCGCATTATGGAAACCAAAGCCTGACATGACAGCATCAATTTAGGGTTTAGGGTTTGGGAGTTTAGGGTTTAAGTTTCAGGGTGTAGGGTTTAGGGGTGCAGGGGCTTAGGGTTTAAGCCCGAAACCGTGGGAGGCAGAATTTTATCAGTCGCTACAGAAGCTTCAAACATCTGTCAAGGGTTTGTTTTTAGATGCCCCCCGGCATGCATGGTCTGCGCAAGATCTAGCGCAGCTCTTCAACCCTAAACCCTAAACTCTACCGCAGTTACTACACTATGCTGTCCTATACTATAGTATGCAACCATAAACCAACCCTAAACCCCAAATCCTGTGTGTTATACTATACTATGCTATACCAGCATCTCACATAACCGAACATCCTGAATCCATCATCCTGCAAAGGCATGCAAAGCCCGACGCCTCGAACAATCCCCAAAAAAGGTCCATGTACAGTACCCAAATGGGTAGTTCTCTAATTAGGGTCCCTTTTTAAGTCCCCAGTTTAGTAGGGCACCCTTATCAACAAGGGCCCTAAAAGGGACCCTATTTTAGAGAGCCACCCAAATAGTAAGTATATACTCAAGTCCCTATATAGGTACTTTTGGGCCACAGTATAGACCATTTGGGGACAGATCCATACCCATGGATGCCCTAAACCCTAAACCCTAAACCCTAAACCTTAAACCCTAAACCCTAAACCCTAAACCCTAAATCCTAACCCCTAAACCCTAGAACCCTAAAACCCTAAACCCTAAACCCCTAAACCCTAAACCCTGAGGAAGGGAGCACAACATCAAAGAGTCGCCTCCAGGAACATGCTGCTCCACTTTGCAGACATCTCGAACTCCATGAAGCCTTTCTCCGTGGCCCGCAGCTCGCTGCAACCCACATTTAGGGTTTAGGGTTTAGTTCGGGTGTAGGGTGTATGGTTTAGGAGTTAGGGTTTAGTTGGGGTTTACGGTGTAGCTTTTAGGATTTAGGGTTTAGTTAGGGTTAAGGGTGTAGCGTTTAGGGTTTAGGGTTTAGGGTTTAGTTAGGGTTTAGGGTTTAGGGTTCAGGGTCTAGGCTCCGCAGACCCAGATGCCAAACTCCCCTCCGACTGTGCTTTTTGCAGGCGCCAGGCAGGTTTAGGCGGTCGGGCGACAAGCAGCATGGTTTAGGGTTTAGGGTTTAGGGGTTTAGGGTTTAGGGTTTAGGGGTTTAGGGGTTTAGGGTTTATGTCAGCAACGCTCCCAACACCAGGAGGTTTGAATTTACCTGACAAGTGTACTGCATGGATATCAACCGAGTCTCCAAAAGAACGGGTCTGCGAGCCTGAGTCTCCGTGCAACCACTACAGGGGCCTTATACTTACCGATTTATACTATTTTGGGGGGGCTCCTTACTATAACTATATGGCCCAAAACCCCATTCCAATTAGTTAGGCCCCTACATTATTCGTTGTTGCATGTAGTAACAGGAGAAGGAGAAGGAGGTGGTGGTAGGTGGTGGGTAGAAGTATGTAGTGCAGTACGTACTGGTCAGGGTCGAACGTGAGCCTTCTGCTTCGGGTTCTGTAAGGCTGTGCCTGATATTATTTTATGGGTAGTTCTCTAAATTAGGGTCCCTTTGTAAGTCCGAAAAAATACGGCACCCTTTACTAAAGGACCCTAAAATGGACCCTAATTTAGAGAACTACCCATATGTAGTTTTTGTTGGGTGCATGTGTTTAGTTTGCAGACTAGGGTTTTGGTGTTGGCCTACCGGAAGTGTCTGGGGTTTGGAGGCCCCAGCTGAAGGCTGTAATCGCCTGAAGAGCATAGAGAATTGATCTCAACCTGTAGACCCCTAAACCCTAAACCCTAATTAAACCCGAAGCCCTAAACCCGAATCCCGAAACCCTCAACCGTAAACCCACATATACCGTGAGCCGGAAGCCTTCGAGACCTGGAAGCCCACTACGACAGCCCTGAACCCTAAACCCTAAACCCCAAACACTGAACCT